GTTCGTGCTGGTGCCTGGGACTGGCCCGACCCAGGGGCAGGACCTTGCCCTGTGACTTGTTGAGCCTCCTGCCGTTTGCCCCGGCCCATTTCTGCAGCCTGTGGGGTCCCTGGGGATGGCAGCCCTGCCCGTGCGTGAGCCCACGGCCCCACGCAGCTCGGGGTCGTCGACAGACTTGCTGAGGGTGCCCTCGATGCTGCTGTCCGTGTCTCTGACAGAGGTGTTGAGCAGCCCTGGGCCCAGAGCAGAGCCCTGGGGAACCCCACTCGTCACTGGTCTCCGTGTGGACCCCGAGCCGTTGGCCACAACTTTCTGAGTGTGACTTTCACAACAGTCGGCCATGATTTCAACAAGTTAGGGATCACTTTTAAGGAAGGTGTTGGCCAGTTTCCTGCATAAGGCTTGTCCAGCTGACAGCTGGGGAGATAAATGGGAGTGTAAGAGGTGAGTAGTGGTGACAAAACACTTGCTGCATTTTTATTCTTTGCTTTAAAGAACCAAACCACCAGACTCGGACAGAAGAATGGTGATTGGCAGCGTTGAATTAAATTGAGATTCATGCTAGTGTCAAGTAAGAGTTAAAATTTGTGCCCCACATTTGATTTGACAGGATCTTTACTTTTGTAATTAAGGACAAACACACTCTGACTGTTCCTATGGCTTAACTAAGCCCTGCAGGACCAGTGGTGAGGATAAGTTGGGAGTTTACTGCATCTTGGACAGGGTAGAGCCACATGTGGGAGTGCAGCACTGCTCATGTGCTTGGCAGCACTGCTAGATGTGTGTAGAATCATAGAGTCACAGAATCATTCAGGTTGGAAAAGCCCCCGGGGATCCTCGAGTCCCACCACTGACCCGACTGTACAGAGCTCACCCCTAACCCACCTCCCCAACCCCACCTCTGACCGACCTTTAAACCTCCAGGGATGGGGACTCAACCCCCTGCCTGGGCAGCCTGTGCCAGTTTCTGACTGCTCTTGCTGGGAAAAATTTATCCTAATGCCCAGTCCAACCCTCCCCTGTTGCAGTTTGAAGCCATTTCCTCTTGTTCTATCCCTCATTGCCCGTGAGAAGAGACCAGCCCCAACCTCCCCACAACGTCCTTCCAGTTCGCTGTAGGGAGCGATGAGGGCTCCCCTCAGCCTCCTCTTCTTCACACTCAACAGCCCCAGCTCCTTCCATCGCTCTTCGTAAGATTTATTCTCCAGGTGCTTCCCCAGCTCCGTTGCCCTCCCCTGCACTCGCTCCAGCCCCTCGAGATCTCTCTTGGACTGAGGTGCCCAAACCTGGACACGACACTCAAGGCGTGGCCTCCAAGCACAGGGGGACAGTCCCCTCCCTGCTCCTGCTCTATAACTCTACCTCAGAGAAGAATGCTTCATGAAGTCATCTGTAACTATAACTTCACTGGGTAGACTCACAAATTCATTCAGCTGTGAAGATTTTAACCACGCCTGCCCTTCATTCAAAACATGTGAGATTTGATATTGCCGTTAAGGCTTTGGAAATCTAACCATGAAGGTACATGGAAAGAGGGTTTTTATGTCGGGTCCTTTTCCTTACTCCTCCCAGCCCAGCAGTTTTGCCTGTATGTGTGAGTTTCAAATGTACGGTAAAATAAAAAACAATAAAAACACACAAAAACCAAAACCCAAAACATGACAACAAAAATCCCCACCCAACAGCAACAAAAAACTCACCACAACAATAAAAGGTCAGGTTTTCGCAGCTTTTTATTAAAAACAGAGAGAACGTGTGTTTTTCTTCTCTTACAGATCCTGAACGCTGGACAAACATTCCTTTGTTAGTAAAAATCTTAAAATTAATAATAAATGAACTCTCTAACGCGATGGAAGCAAATGCATCTAGGCAGACAACTGCAGACTGGAGCCAAGGTAAAACGCTGCGTTTGCTTTTCCTCTTTGCACGGCTTAAACCTACTTTGCAATCTCTTCAGAAGCGTCTAGAGTGGCAAGAAACTCACGATAGTAAAGAGTACATTTGTAATTATGAAGACTTAAATAGTGATCCAAAGGATAAGATCAGTCAGGTTTGTGTAGCTTATACCTGAAAATGACCTTGGGCCAGTTTGGTAGGTGGGATCTGGCCGTGTGCCCCGCAGACGGTCCTTTCATGGCGCATCTGGTTTGCCTTTGCCTTTTGCCCCGACTTCAGGCGTCCCTTCTTGCCGCTGCTGTTTGCTCAGCTCCAGCGCTGGGGGACCTCGTTCCGAAAGGATCGTTGGGACTGTGGGTGTTGTCCTTCATCCGCCTCCACGAGCAGAGATATCACAGAATCATGTTGGAAGGGAGCTCTGGAGATCCCCCAGTGCCACCCCCTGCCAGAGCAGGGTCACCCAGGGCAGCCCCACAGGGACGCGTCCAGGCGGGTTGGAAAGTCTCCAGAGATATTTGCCTACAGCCCCCTGCAGAGTGATCAACAGACTGGACCTCTTGGGTTTTGATTATTTCTACATTTTTTAATTATTTTTTTCTTTTCCCTAAACAGATGATTCGAATGATATGTGGGAGGATCAGGAAGAGGACGAGGATGAAGATGAAGGCTTAGCAGGACAGTTCTTGTCAGATATTCTTTCCACCAACAAGTATGGTAAGTAAGAGCTTTCAAGTGCTCAGCTGGAGTGAAAATAGAGTAGATGACGTTCTAGTCAACGTTTTCTTTCCTTGACAGCAGCTCACAAAGGCTGCAGGCAAGGGGAAGGAGATACTGCCCTGGGATTGTGAGTAAGGACCTTTCTCCTGTAGGAGAGGGACACGTCTTTGAACAACACGGTGACTAAAGAACTGCATTTTTCACCTGAGACTTCAAATGCTGCGTTGGCTGCTCCTTGCCACAAGGGTCATGCAGGTTTTTCTTCTAAAGAGCAAAGTGATGCTCAAAGATGTAGACGTGCCCTTGGAGTGACAAGGTCCTAGAAGTGGATGAGCTTGTTTGTGAGGTGACCGTGAGAAATAATTGCTGCCTAACGAAGATGGGAGCGGGTGTATAATCTTCCCTCTGCTCTCCAGTTGGCAGATAGTCTTAGAGGGGAGAACCAGGCGAATACAACACGGGACAGGGCTCACCTGAGCACAGACCTGGAAGTGGGTCGCCCCAACATAAATCGTGAGCTAATAGAGCCCATTACCAACAGACCTGCCTGCGAGTATCCGCGTGTGCTCCTCCAGTCTGTGCGCTCCTCGAGCCTCCCGCCATGGCCCGTCCTGTTCCGGCCTCTAGAGTTTTCTAATCCTGTGAATTTAAGGAGCGAATATTCTGAATGCAATTTTTTAATTTCTTTTTTTACCCAGCAGTGCTGAAACTATTTATTTTTGGATCCTTGCATTTCACCAGTAGTCTAATAGAAACTTCCTGAGATATTTTGCTCTGTTTGATGTTAAAACCTGATTTGCCTCTGACAGATGAGGATTACTATGAAGATGATGAAGAGGATGATCCAGATGCGTTAAAGGACCCTCTTTACCAAATAGATCTCCAGGTGATACTCCATTTATTTTTTGTTTTTTAATCATATTCCCATCATTTCTTATAAACTGAATTTTTTTTAGTGTTATACTTTAAGAACACTGTAAACCACTGGAAGCCCCAGTTCCTCATTTTTGTCCCAAAGGTACTCAGCTCATGGAATTTACTTTGGAAAATGCTGAGTATTCCGTGAATGCCTGGAGCTGTTTTCCCTTCCTGCCTCTGGAAATGTGAATGAACCAAACTTTTTGAACTGAGGGAGATGAGGCTTTTCTACCTGTGAGTTTCACAGCTCTTTGCTGGAACTGGAAGTAGATTGGACACTGAACGTGACCGAATTTTGGGCTCCACGTGGAGCTGCTCCCACCCCGTCATGATACTTTGCTCCTTCTTTTTGCTGCTGCGGGCAGCAGCCGACATGCCCTTAAAATCATAGAACAGTTTCGGCTGGAAAACACCTTCAAGATCAAGTCCAACCTTTTCCCAGCCCTATCCACCCACTAAACGATTCCCCCCAACGCAACATCCCCCGTCTCTCACACCCCTCCAGGGATGTGGCTCAAGCCCCTCCCTGGGTGGCTGACGACTCTCTCAGTAAAGAAATTCTTCCTAATATCCAACCTGAACCTCCCCGGCACAATTTAAATCCATTTCCCCTCGTCCTGTCCCTCTCCACCAGGGAGAACAGACCAACCCCTCCTCTCTCCAGCCTCCCTTCAGGCAGTTGCAGAGAGCGATGAGGTCTCCCCTCAGTCTCCTCTTCTCCAGGCTGACCAGCCCCACATCCCTCAGCTGTTCCTCCTATGACACGTGCTCCAAATCCTTTCCCAGCTCGGCAGCTGCCCCTGTACCCTCTGCAGCCCCTCAGTGTCCCTCTGGGAGCGAGGGGCCCAGCACTGGATGCAGCCCTCGAGGTGCAGCCTCCCCAGAGCCGAGCGCAGGGGTGTGATCCCCTCCCTGCTCCTGCTCTCAGCACCATTCCCAATACAGCCCCTTCCATCGGCGCCGCTTCTGCCCTGCGATCCCTTCACCTTGCTCAGTGCATGTCGAGGTTTGTCTTTTGATACGGGCAAGGGGCAGAGTTTCCAAAGCGCCGTGATGCTGACTGGCTCCTTCTCTCTTCCTTTCAGGCCTACCTGACCGAGTTCCTCTGCCAGTTTGCGCAGCAGCCCTGCTATGCAATGTTTTCAGACCATCTCAATGAGAATGAAAAGCGAGTGTTACAGGCCATTGGTATATAAACCCACTCGAGAGACCATATCCATCATATCTGGACAATATTTTTTTTATTAGGATGATGATTTTGGCTTATTCCACGTTTTATGATTAAACATAAAACATTTTCCGGTGTCCGCCTGCTTGTTCCAGGTGGACGGTGGCCTCGTTGCGATGTATTGAGCCTCATCTTAACATGAACCTGCTGAGGGAAGGAATACTAAGAAAGCAGCAAGGACGGAAGTTTCCAGAGCTTTGCACATTGGTCTCACCATGGGAGCACTTTCATTTTCCACAGTAACTTTGCAGGAAGTTCTTAAAGATAAAAAAAAAATGTGTCCTTAATATTTTTAAAAGCAAACTGTCTCTACCTTCAAAGAGGCACTTAACTGAGTTTCCCACAGCACAGTTGGACAGAGGAGGGAACTGGGTCACTTGCAGATTGCTTGGATGGATGTCGAGAAATTGGAAGGTTGTTCCTCTTCGCGCCCGTGTAACACGTACAGGGTAAATATCTCGATCTTACGGCGTGACTTCTTTTTATAAAACTATAGACTCTTCTATCAGAGATGCCCGAACGGTGTGGAACGTGTTGTTTGGAGGGGAAGCTGAGACAATAAAACCGAGCGCATATCTTCTGCCGGGTGTTGATGGGGCTTTGTCGCTCACATCTGCTGTCCGGTCCCGTGGGAGCAGTCCTTTACTAAGGCTTCCGCGTGCACATGCTCAAAGGAAACTACCACTGAAATCTGGGCTCCTGTGGCATGTGGCTACTAAAGACTTGGGTTTGTGGAACACAAGGAGCCACAAGTTCTAGGGGAAAAAACCCAAACTGATTGTATTTAACACATTTGCTCCATGACAGCCACTCTGAACTACTTTGCTCCCTTCACACTCCCGTGTGTACTTCTACAGAGTGGTAAAATGACATTTGCAAATTGATTTACCCGTAAGAACGGCGTGATGTATCTCACAACACCTCTCTGCCTTTGGTTCCCCCTTGGGGAAAAGGAAAATAAAACTATTAAACTGTACACTGGTATCCTTCTTATAAAACCAATTTAAAAGGAACTTGTTTCCTGAAGTCACTTTTTAAAGACCTGTTTCTCCTTGGGGAACTCGGCGTGTGTGCTGCCCGGAGCTGGGAGGGAGGCAGCTGGACAGAAAGGGAGTCCTGTACTGGATACATCTTCTGCTTAAGAGAAAAGGCCGACCCATTACAGAGTTTCCTTTCTTAAGAGAGGTACTTGCTGTTCCTTTGCGGAATGCTTCGAAGTTGTAGCTAAAATCCTCCAAAGAGCTGGAGGAATTCTGTATCGTGCTGGTCTAACGGAGCGTAGCTTTTCACTTTTTTACCGGGGGAGGATAATAAATGAGCTTTTTAACAGACAAAGGTGGCACCATTTGTGTAACGCGTGTGGCGTAAAGGGTGAAATAACGCTGAATTCTGAAGCAGACCTTGCTCTCCCAGCCCAGCCCCTCGCCCTGTGCCTGAGAAGGGGCAGAACGAGGCGGGAGTCCCCGCTGCTCCCTGCCAGCTCATTGTCTCTGTCCCTGAGTTCTCAGTGGTTTTGTAGGAATAGCTCTATGAGAGCAGAATTTGAAGCCTGTGGTTCGTGTGTGTCTAATAAGATATAAGCCGTGATCACAAGTTTCCACACAGTTGTGTTGTGGTATCTTTCTTCCCTGTGGATTCTCTGGTGTGTAAGAACCTATTATTAAACTCGATGCCATGACATTCCCGTCGGTAGGAACGCTGTGCTTCTCTCTTCCTGCCTAGACTTTTCTTTTGTTAAGGTCTGTTAGGAACTTTATTTTGAGGCGTTTGTCTCTCAGCTTTCACTGAAAAGGGCCAACAAGTTAAACTAAGGAGCACAGTCGCTTGGGGAAGCCCAGCTGGAAGCAGAGGGCTGTGGTGGTGTGACCTGAGAGCTGTAAGGAAAGGTCCACGTGTCCTCAGTGACCAGTCCCAACCCTGGGAAGAGGCAGGACAGTTTATTTTTGCCCCATGTGTTGGCAGAAAGGCCCAAAACCGGTCATCTGTTCTGGAGGTAAGTGACACCGAACATCTGGAAGTGTTTAGGTGTGGTTTAGGGTGTCGACAGTCAATGGAGAGGGTTCAGGTCTGGTCAGCTGGGGCTGCTGGGGTTTGTGTGCTCGCTCGTGGGGTGACTGGTGAGTGCCCCAGTGGTGCCTGTTAGTGAATCGTAAAGGTTGGACGGGACCTCAGA